ATCTGTCCTGGAAGAAGTGCAGCTGGAATGCTACTTGGAAGTGAGAATGGCCAGACTTCGTCTCACCTACTTTGGTCATGTTGTCAGAAGGGACTATTCCCTGGGAAAGTACATCATGCTCAGTAAAGTGGAGGGTCAGCGAAAAAGGGGGAGGCCCTCAATAAAATGGATTGACACAGCACAGTGGCTACAATAATGGGCTCAGGTATAGCAAGAATTGTGAGGCTGGTGCAGGACTGGGCAGTGTTTTGTTCTGTTGTACATAGGGTTGCTGTGAGTCAGAGCCAACTCGATGGCATCTAACAACAACAACAAAGAAGAAAGGACATGTAAAGGAACAGGATGACTGGAGGGCCAAGATAAAGTCATGCCTGTGGATGGTTGTAGATTAATTCTAACATCCAAGGGGAGTAAGGAGGACTCAAGCATCTTGGATGCACTGTATTTAATAACATTCCTATGGGCATCAGTCTTTGTAAACTACTTGTTTGATACTTAGGTATGTGCAGTGTAGTAAATTACTAGCCATAGTCTTTGTAACTCCCACTTTGCTGTGAGCAACTGAGTAGCTAGCTGCTTGTTAAAGTCATCCACCTGGGGCAGCACAAAGTAATCTTCTGGAAAAGTTCACTCTCTCTCAGGTGTGTAGAACTCTGATGTTGGGATTGGTTGGTTTTGCCACTCTCCCAGGCTCAAAATGAGCTCTCCTACAGACAGAAGGAATCTCTTACTGCTGGCTGAGAGAGATGTACTGCTGAGAGAGAGACACACACATGGCTAAGAGATAAGAGAGAGACGTGCTGCTGAGCGAGACTGCCAGCTGAGAGAGATGGCCAGCTGAGAGGGACTGAGTGCATTCCTAAACCTGAACTGTTGCCTGTTGCTTCCCTAATAAACCCCATAATCTGAGAGTTCTGTGCCACTGCATAGAATTATTGAACCCAGCAGAGAGGTGGTGGATGCCACAAGAGGGACGGTTGGTAACCAAGTTGGTAAGAGGGATGGAGGGTGGCGGCATGTCTGCCCTCATAAGAACAGGCCTTGAGCTGCTTGCTGGTGGTGATTCTGTCTTCCTCTTGTGAAGTTAGAGGAGGTCAGAAGATGCCACCTCCTTGTCCCTTTAGCAGTTGGTGTCATGAGGAGTGGGATTCGTTGGAGTGGCTCCAGACTCATAGAAGTATAGGATTTTGTAAAAGAAAGAAGGAAGGGGCCTGGGAAATGAAACTGGATTCTTAGATGGTTACTTTGGTTGCTATTACCTATTAAAGGAGATAATTGATCCAGAAGCTAGGCCAAAGGCCACAGGCCATATACATAGAATGGGAAGATTAAGGTGAAGAGATAAAACTGTAATGTCTTAAATAGGATTATGTATTTTGGACTATGTGTTTATCTGAATGTACTGTGGGTATTGAATGTTCTCTTATCTACTTATAAGTTAGAAATGATTATTGGGTATGGATAACAAAGAGGGTATAAGTTCACCTTCAGCCATTACTTGATTGGATATGTTGACAGGGGAAACAGAAGTTGCCCAGAAGAAATATAGGCTTTTGTTTCAAACCCTGTGTGTAGAATTTGAAAAGACCAACCCAGAACTATTGAGAGAACAGAAAACTTGCATTTGAAAGGACCAGAAGAGAGAGGGGAAAAAAAAAAAAAAAAATTGGCTTTTTGAATTTCAAGCTAGCAGTTAGGCTTTGGGTGTATTGAGGCAAGGCAGATAGGAGTGGGCGTGGAGCTGCTTCTGGCTGGACTATGCTTGCACATGTGAGCAGAGCTGGTGGGTGAACTGTGGCCATGGTAGCTGGGCAGTGGGAAAGAGTTGATGATCATGGACCTGTGGCAGTTTCTTGTGTGCCTGTCCCTATGCACAGCCTTTGCCTTGAGCAAGCCCACAGAAAAGAAGGACTGGGTACACAATGAGCCTCAGCTCAGTGACAAGGTTCACAATTACACTCAGAGTTCTGATTATAACCATGATGCCTTCCTGTGTGCTAAAGAAGCAAAAACCATTGATCAGTTGACACCGGAAGACAGCAAAGAAAGACTTGGAATGATTGCAGATAAAATGGACATGGATAAAGATGGGTTTGTGACAGAGGGGTAGCTGAAATCCTGGATTAAGCATTGTTTTTGTTTGTTATGTGCCATCAAGTCAAACCCGACTCATAGCAACCCAGAAGAAATACATATATGACAATGTTGAAAACCAATGGCAGGAGTTTGATATGAATCAATATAGCTTAATCTCCTGGGATGAGTCCAGAAACACGACTTATGGCACTTACCTGGATGATCCAGACCCTGATGATGGATTTAACTATAAACAGATGATGGGTAGAGATGAGCAGAGGTTTCAAATGGCAGACAAGGATGGAGAGCTTATTGCCACAAAGGAGGAGTTCACAGCATTCCTGTACACTGAGGAGTATGACTACATGAAAGACATCATGGTGCAGGAAACAATGGAGTATACAGATAAGAATGCCGACGGGTTCATTGATCTGGAAGAGTACATTGGTGACATGTACAGCCACGATGGAAATGCTGACGAGCCCAAATGGGTAAAGACAAAGTGAGATCAGTTTGTGGAGTTTTGAGATAAGAATCAAGATGGGAAGATGGACAAGGAAGAAACCCAAGACTGGATCCTCCCCTCAGACTATGATCACACAGAGGCAGAAGCAGGCACCTAGCCTATGAATCAGACTAGAACAAAGATGACAAGCTTACCAAGGAGAAGACTGTTGACAAGTATGATTTATTCATGGATAGCCAGGACACTGATTTTGGGGAGGCCTTAGTATGACATGATGAGTTCTCAGTTGCAGACAGAGGAGCCCACATCTATTCAAAAGTAATTTATTTTTATAGCTTCTGGTTTCCTATGAGATTGTTTTTGCTACTGACACTGTTAACACAGACTTTTAAGACGTGAAAAGGTGTAAGAAAAACCATCCTGCCCCCATTCCTCCTCCTCCTCTCCCAGCTTGGCAGCTGATACCAATGACCTAGCTGGGATGGCTAGGGCTGAGCTGATCAGAATCCAACCAAATGAAGAGGAAGATGTTTGACACTGAGCTGGTGGTGTAAGTTGCTGCATTTGATGGCTTGTGCTGGAGTAGATTTTGCTTATTTATGGGTGCGGATGCCCAAAGTTCCAAGCAGAGCAAAAGATTCTTCAGAGATTAAGGAACATGCTTGTCTCCTCAGAGTACTGGTTTGATGTTGTTGTTGTTATTTGCCGTCAAGTCGGCCCCGACTCATAGCAATCCCTCCTTGGGTTTCCGAGGCAGTATCACTACGGAAGTAGGATTGCCCAACCTTCCTTCCGAGGAGTGGCTGGTAGGTTTGAACCGCCAGCCTTCTGGTTAGCAGTCAAGTGCCTTAGGCACTATGCTACTGGTTTGATAGAGATGGGCAAATTAGACATTGGCTATTAAAATGGTGGGAGATAAAGGCATGAAATGGCTGGCTTATACACTTTCATAGGTGTGGTTATTCTTAAACTGATGGCGAAAAACCAAACTCCCTGCCATTGAGTTGGATCTGACTCATAGCAACCCCTCCTTGGGTTTCTGAGGTGGTATCCCTACAGAAGTAGATTGCCCAATCTTCCTGCTGAGGAGTGGCTGGTGGGTTTGAACCACCAGTCTTCCGGTTAGCAGTCAAATGCCTTAGGCACTACACCACCAGAGCTCATGTTAATTTTTTGACGTATAAAGGGATAATGGTTAGAAAAGCCAGGGGGTGGCCTGCAGTGTAGTAAATCACATGGCATAGTTTTTCTAGCCATAGTCTTTGTAACTCCCACTTTGCCATGAGCAACTTGCGTAGCTACTTGTTAAAGTCATCCACCTGGAGCAACATGAAGTTACTTCTGGGAAAGTTCACTCTCTCTCAGGTGTATAGAACTCTGATGTTGGGATTGGTTGGTTCTGCCACTCTGCCAGGCTCAAAATGAGCCCTCCCAGAGGCAAAAGGAACCTCTCACTGCCAGCTGAGACAGAGAGATGCGCAGCTGAGAGAGAAAGAGACATGCTGCTGAGAGAGAGAGACATGTGGCTGAGAGAGATGCACTACTGAGAGAGACTGCCGGCTGAGAGGGACAGCCAGCTTAGAGAGACTGAGCATGTTCCTGAACTTAAATTGTAGCCTGTTGCTTCCCTAATAAACCCTATAATCTGTGAGTTTGGTGTTGCCACTGCAGCAAATTACTGAACCCAGCAGAGAGGTGGTGGATGCCACAAGAGGGACGGTTGGTATCAAGGTTGGTAAGAGGGCTGGAGGGTGGCGGCATGTCTGGCCTCATAAGAACAGGCCTCGGGCTGCTGACGGTGATTCTGTCTTCCTCTGTGCCAATTACACTGCCACTTGATACTCTTATATATTCCACAGCACACACTGGTGAGATGGCCATCAGAAATTACTGAAGACTGTATGTCAGCAATCCAGCCTCCCGCTCACTAGTGCTAATTAGCCCATGTGGAAATCCAACCTCTCTGACGTCACACCCTCCTAAGAGTCATAAATTTCAGAAAGATGGTATTATGATAGAGTAGTACATAAAATATTCATTACTATAGGATGGTCATCATGGCCCACAGCTGTAGCCATTCTTTGACCATTCTACTATGATAATATGTGGAATCCAACTTCATAACTAAGGCAAAATTAGCTTTCCTTTCTTGTCTTCTGCACTTTAATTGATTGCACTGTCTGAAGACACAGACACTGAAGTAAGCAGTATTCACTAGACTTGTAATTTTGTTTCAAGATAAAGATATGGGAAACACAGTTGTAAATCATCATCTTTTTAACTGTTATCCTTCAATACAGGCCTATTTCAACATGTTCTATCATCTTAAAGGCACAGTCTAATTTTTAAGGGAATGCAGTAGATAGGAAAGTAGATGAACAAAACCAATGTTTTAGGAAAACATACCAAATGCTAATTTAACTTGTAAAAAGAAATGTGCACTGACTTGTTAAATACAACATAAAAGTGAGACATTCTAAAATTCATTTCTTTTAATAAATGTTCTGATTATATTTCAGCATCAAATAAAAGACCCATATATAAAACTGTCATTTTTCAGATGGCTATTAAAACACCCAGAGAATAGTTCCTTATGCTAATAAAAAGTGGCTTTTAAAAATTCTTAAAAAGAGGGATATGAGGTGTAAATAAGATCAAAATCAAATAATCCAAAATTGTTGTTGTTTTTGTTAGTTGCCATTGAGTCAGACTCGACTCATAGTGACCCTTCCTTGGTTTTCTGAGGCAGTATTACTACGGAAGTAGATTGCCCTACTTCCTTCCGAGGAGTGGCTGGTGGGTTTGAACCGCTAGCCTTCTGGTTAGCAGTCAAGTGCCTTAGGCACTATGCTAATTATATAACTAAAATTCCCCAAAAAATATAATTTAGTAATTTTAAGCATCAGGACCAATGTCAAGCCTCCTTAATAGATACTCTATAAATTACAACTAATTATATACTGTTGAGAGGGGTCCATAAAAGTAAAACCTAATCAATAACCCATTTATTAAAGACTTTCTAAGTATAGTGCCTTCCAAGTAGCAGAGAGTGTCCAGCAAAGTAGTCATTCTGGAGCTCATCACAGAGGTTAAGGATGTAAATTTAGAAGTTATTCATGCCATATGTGATAATGCAAGTGGCAGGCATGAATGGAATGATGCATAGGGTAGAATAAGGAAAAAGACAAAGGTTATTCTTTCTCAATCCATGATTCCCATATTTCAATCAGCTTCTTTAATTAAACAGATTACATCTCCAGAGAATCTGATTCAGAAGGTTTCGGTTTTGTAACCCAAGCAACTGGGTTTTGTAACAAGCACTTCAGGTGATTTTAAAGCTGGTGGTCTGTGGACCAGCCTTAGCCTATACCACCTTAGCCTATAAAAACTCACTAACTCATTGCCGTTGAGTCAGATGCAACTCCAACAGACCCCCTCCTTGGGTTTCTGAGGCAGTATCTTTGGGAGCTCTGGTAGCATAGTGTCTAAGGCACTTGACTGCTAACCAGA